TAGGTCAGAAGATGTGCTTATCTTTCCAGTTTTTGCTAATAAGATATAAACTCGCCTATAAAATGAAGAAAGTACTGAATTTTGGCAAATTTCATGTGCAAGTGTGATTTATACGAAAAAGGCTACTCAGAAAATGGGCATCAGAATAAACATTTTGCCATGTATTTTGCTATAATAGTTTTAAAATATTCTCAGGTTTTCAAAGTATTTAAAAAAGTTAAAACAGATAAACATATAGCAATCAGAGTTTTCGATGACCCTCGATGACGTATTACTAAACTTTGTATTATTTTTAAACACAATTTTCGCTCATTCAAAATTCTATAAACACGAATTTTGTCATGTTACAGATTATGCCAACGAAATATCGCTGTTTTCCATTAAATTTCGAAGCATTTTTAAGTCGGTATAGAATTTCTTGGCTTTGCAAAGAATGAAGACGTTTTAGTGTTTTTGGTTTGAATTTCACATTTTGTTGATGCTATCAGACGCCATTTTAAAAGGACATGTTTTGCTCTGTTTTGTTTTGCACTGAAATAACCGATATTAATAGTTTACATTGTAAAATATGTGACAATAGAGGAAATCAAATTATTACTGCATAATTTTTTGTCAGTGAATCCAATTTTTGTGGTGATTTTTGGGCCAGGAAGTGGAAGCATGCATATCTTCTTCTCCCGCTGAAAACCCGAGCAATTTTCGCGCATGCTCAGTCATATTTCCAACCTGTTGGGGTTACAACAAACGACCATTTCTAAAATCAACGCCATCTTTTATAAGGCAGAGTACAATTTCTAATAGTATAATTCCCTGCACCAGAATGATGAAAACGACCTTGGAATACTACCAGCAAGGGTTTAGTAAAATGGCATACTAAAACTGCAACAACGATTCCTTTGCAAACATATGTAGTTTCCAGTACTTCGACCACACTCGCGCTCGGTTATTGCGTGGATCCGAAGATATTTCAGCGGTGCTTTGTGTGAAATTACAAATTGGCGGGAAATTTTATGAAAGGTTAATGAATGTAAAGAATATTCATTTGTTTTTAGTTTTTGTTTCTTTTATTTGTTAGTGTCACAGAATGAATAATAAAACAATTATTGGATTCGACTTAACTTCATACAATAATTGCTATTATTATATGGCTTTTCAAAATTCTCTATTCTGATTGGTTGACAAGCGGTCCGTAAAAACCCATATCCGGACCGTGGTCCGTATTTTCCGTATCTGCACCGGTGTCCCGGATGTCGTTTATCTGGCGAAAAAATTTTGCTTTTTAATTTTCCAATTGTGTGTCATTAAAATTTACAGATAAAAATTTCAAACAACCAAATTGTTTTTGATTGAGCATGCATGCCTACCGCTTATTGTTACCCAGTGAAACTGACGATAGCCGATTTAATTCGCGCGAAAAGCATATGCTCACAGACTCAGTTCAGCCATATAATAAACCGATTATTGACCTCGCTTGTTCGGTCTGTACTGTGAAATATCAGAACTCTGTTTTTTGTATGGACCTCGCTCCTTCGTCGCTCGGTCCATACTAAAAAACCTCGCTCTGATATTTCACAGTACAGACCTCACGCTCGGTCAGTAAGCCGTTAATATCGAGACAGCATTTTCCTTGCGATACTAACTCTTGCTTTAAATAAAAGAGAACATTTGCACCTCTTTAGGATCGCTGCGGGTTGTTGGTCGTTCCATTACATGAAACGCATTTTGGAAACGTTATTTGTACATAGATTTTCTAAAGGAACTATGCCTATTAGAAATCTGTTTAAGGTAAGCAGACGCTTTTTAAATATCTTATATAAATAGCATTCTCGTCGAACCCTGTGAAGTGGGAACATCCTTGATGAATCCTTTAAAAGATGTCCAGATAGCGCCATTTAATGATGGAATGATGATATAATTTTCTTAAAGAATCATTAGTTGGCAGCAGGGATGTGTGCCCACTAAAAATAATTTTAAAAAGTCTTTTTAAGAAGAGATCCGTTTAAGATGGTATCTGGTAATAGGGATTCGGCCATATCAGTTAATTGCAATTATTTTTCTTTTCTATTGCTTCTTTGATTGTTATCATGTCTCTTGGATTATAAAGAACTGCAGCTATTACTGGTAAGATTTCTCTGAATATGTATGGCATAATGTTAGAGCAATTAAATTTGCAGTAATTGATGTGATTGTCAGATTGAAACACGGTGGTGGTTAATTTCGTGAACGAAATGCTCACAGCTATAGTTGCATGTGGTTGAAAGGTGCACGCATTTCTCCGTGTATATTGTATGTTGATCTGTGGGCTGTTGTTCAAAAGCGGTCTAGCGTATAATTCTGGGTGAACGTAAAATTCAAAGCAAACTTCGCAGCTACTTGTAAACAGAGATAAACAGACGTCCAGAAATAATGTGCACAAACCTAAACAATGGGTTAAATTTTAACCCAGGATTAGGCCGATTAGCATTAATCGTGCTTTGAAAAACCTGGTTTGAATCTTCACAAAGGCTAATCATATTACCAAAACAAAAATCGCCTGTAATTTCTTCCTTCACAATTTGAAATTATCCATGAAGTCACGAGGAATAAAAAGAGAATATGTGCGTAGTTTCACAAAGTCGGACTATACAACATACTGTACGGTTGTCAAGTTAAAGCCTGGTTCGCACTACTAGTTGTCGGCGAGTCTCTCTTCCTAACGGACGCAAGTGAGAAACTCGCACACAAAACTATTGAATCTCTATATGCGGAAGCAAACAGTTCCGAAGTCTTTTGCCTGCCTGCCTGCCACTATTGAGGTTTAGATTTGAGTACCACTACCTAATATTAAAGGATCATTAACCAATCAGATACGTTTAATCTACCTGATTAGCCAATCACATGCGTACTTAGTCAGTAAAAGGCAGTGAGCTCCGCATATACTGGAGCCAAGATAGCGGGAATTGGAGAGGTATTGGACGACGTCAGTTCTAGTCCCTTTCTATTGTTTTTGTCTGCGCGGTTAACACGAAGCTGGCAAGGAGTGTGCGAAATTTCGTATTTTGACATTGATTAACACTATATATGGTTTTAAGAATAACTTGTTCAGCATTACGCTCCGTTAGAAAAAAAAATTAGCTGGGAAAAATGGTATTTAAACTGTTTACGACCTGCATAGCTATACTGGACGTCAATTTCCGCCATCTTGACTTTACTTTTCTCATAGGTCGAATGACTGAAGTTCTTGCTCCAGATATATATAGAGCTCACTGCTAAAAGGTAGTGGAAGTCAAATCTGAACCTCACTATACTCGTCATCTGCCAGGAGGAGAAAATACGCCGACAGAGTTTCTTGTGTGAACAAGGCTTGTAATACAGTAGTTCACTGCATTGTACTGACCTTGTGTTCGCAAATAGATGGAATGAAAACATTTAGCGTCATTGGCTTAGCCTGACAATTTCGTGAAGTGATTTGAAATTGACTATACCATGTGGAGACAAAACAATGATTGGTTAATGACATTGTGATCTGTTTATAGTGACAGAAGAGGGTAGATAGTGGTATTTTAAGCATGGACATTGGTGACAATGTATTGAAGATGTTAAATTATATTTTTACAGGGGATTTGCAGCCTTTGTCAGTTACTTTGTAAATCACCCACTCTATACTCCACCAGGTATAGTACTGTGTATTATTCTATTTTGTGTTCAAAGGTTATCCTAAAATATGTCTACGTAATTTTAGTGGCTCTTATCATTCACTTGTTCATATTCTTTATAAAGCATTTGGAGACCTTCAGATGTATATTGGTTTGGCTGGTTTCCTGGTAAGATAAATGTTGTTTTATTTTCCCAAATCTTTGCACGTATTTGATATGCTATAGTTGAAACCCTGTACAAAATTATTCCGTCATGCATGACGGCGTGGTGTGTGATAATCGCTGAGCTGTATAATAACTGGAGGACCTGCTCCTATCTCTCGTCAATCAAAAAAGTGTCTCCAAAAACATGGCGGATTTTGACGCCATATGACGCCATTTCCATGGCAACTGGTCCGAAAACCTCGTGGTAGTTACCACTGACCAGGCTCAATTCTGAGCCCACGGCAGTTTTCACCCCCCCCCCTGTTTTTTTGCAAAAGATTTGGTTTTTGCAGATAAATATTTATAGTTCTCGTTGTTTTAAATCTTTTGTTTAAATTTTGAGATATATTTACTGCCTTTGACCATTTGGTCAAAGATATGCAAGACGTACGTGTTATTCTCGCCCGCGAAAGCCAAACAAAACCTCGAAAAATGTGGGAAAAGACTATTAAAGATGATACTTGAGTCGCGTAAAAGGTAGGAGACGTCTAGTCAATTTTACTTATTCTTTATCTTATTTGACATGAAATTGAAGCCTAACGATGAAATACACTTCATTTGTTAAGAAAACAAGCTTTCAGCTTTCTACAGTCCAAATTTCATATTGTAACAAAGATTTGATATTCACAAATTTGTATGATATATACTGTCTAAACTCACTAAAGTGCAAACTATCTTGTGTAATAATGTTAAAAAGGTTGACTGCAGAGACCTGAGGTCTCATTTTATTACTTTTATAAACATACACTTGATGAAACTATGTGTAGGGTTTGTGTTTAATATGCACCAACTTTTGTATAAGCTACAGGTTATCCAGGAAGATAGTTTCTGTCTACCTATAAAATACTGATTGGGGACACTTTTTGTGTCATTATACACCTGATTATAAACTCCTTAAGCACCAGTGCTCTCCCCTCGACAAGTAAAATTGTCTGGTGTTTATCAATTTATATAAAACAGGGTGCATTGAGGTACAATGCAACTTTTAAAACAGTTTAATGAAAGCATTTCTAAGCAGCATTGTATGTTCATTCATCCCAATATCGAAGATACAATAGATATTGAAAAATTTGTCCAGGATACAAACATAAACGATTTTGTAAAAACCATTAAAGATAACTACACATCATTTTGGAAACATCAAATTAAAAACTCTAGTAAATTGTCATTTTATTCTACATTTAAAAAACACTATAACTTAGAAGAATATCTAAATATCATTAAAGACCCTAACCAAAGAAGACTGTTCTCAAAATTTCGTATAAGTAATCATAGACTAGAAATCGAGTTCGGTCGTTATAGCGATGTACCTCGACAGGAGAGACTGTGTAAATACTGCGATAAACTTGCAGTTGAAGACGAATTTCATTTCTCATTTGAATGTGAAAAATACCAGAATTTGCGAAATAACTCGCGCAACATCCTAAACAACTATTTCCAAATGAGCATCACTGATGAATTAAAGAGAAAATTATTAAGTGATCTTATGTCATTGAATGACCCTGTGATAACAGGTCTATTTTCGGAACATATTTCGAAATGTTTTTATATCAGAGACAACAGCCCTTAAACCAGAAGTCACAAGTTTCTATATATTATCTAACTTTCCTTTCCCTTTTTCTATATTCACTCTTTCTAATCCTTTCTTAAATTTTGATATTTGTTCTGTCATATATCCTTCCTATTTGGTATATTATACATGTAAATAGCAGTATATTGTTTTCCGTTAGTTAAAGTAGTTTTTATACTAGTTAACTCTTATATATTTTCCATTACGCCTAGCAATACCTGTAATTAGGTCATGCAAATAAAGCTTATTAATAATAATATGTAGACCTTTAAGACAGGAATAAACCTGCAGCCATCAGTGATTCTGATGCAGTGTTCAAACCAATTTATACTGATCAGCTAGAGTTGTCGAGCTGTAGTTGCAAATTAATTCATGTAAATATCGTGATTGAAGCCTGTATTAATAGGGTAAATGTCAGGATTTTGGACATCACACTCAACAGAACTTTAAATGTCGAAGGTAGCGTCACTAGACGAATATTTTAAGTTTGAATTTTATACATATTTACCAACCTAAAAAATATAGTTTCATCTTTTGCAGCTGCTTTAACCAGGTCTAAAAATTATAAAATTTACACTCAAAATTTTCATCTACAAAAACCCTTCAACATTTAGTGATGTACATCAGCATTGCCATGTAAAACCCTTTTCTCACCTAACATGCACTTACTGCATGTAATAGTTGGTGGTCAACATAGGAATATTTGTACAAGAATAGACATTACCTCGCAATTCTATATTTTTCTCATACAGAATACATGGTCTGCTTCATTAAATTAATATGTAGTTTTTAGATAATAATTACAGTAAACTGCTTTATATTTTGTTAGACCAAGAAGTGTTCTCTTAAATTAAGGGAGAGGTATTGTCAGTGGCAAATTTGAGGAATCTGATGCATTGGTGGAATATTGCATGTGGTCATGAAATTATACTTCAATGCTGCAATCCTCAAGGTCTGAAAATTGGAGATTTTGTACCAACCTCTGCTAATCAGCAGGGATCGATCAAAATATGTGCTTAAATTACCACTACTAGTTTTGTAAAGAAAATGAAACACTCTTGATGACATATACTAGATTTGTTGAAATAGTTGAACTGAGGCAATGATAGTAATTCAGGCATTTTTGGGGAGCATTTTTAAAAATGTACTTGTTTTTAAAAAGTAAATTTATATTTGACTCATAATTTTCTCAGAACCAATCCAATATTTACCACTACATTAAACATATTTTCAGAGGTCAAGTAACTAACAATAATTTGAGCTCTAGGTGTGGAAATAGAAATCACAAAATGTTAATGAAAATTTTAATAAATTTTATATATTTACATAATACGTACTGTAATTTAGTATTTATGACAACAAGTATTTATAATCATTGAAAATTGTATTGACAGAATTTAATGACATTAATAAGGGGGCATTCATTATTGATGGGATGGGTGAGGAACTGGGGGGACCTGAGATTTTCCCAGATGAGAAGGGGGACTGCAATTCTGGTAAACCAAATCCTGGGGGGACCTGACATGGAAGGAAGACAAATCTACAAATTTCAAAAATCATGATGAGGGTAAAAACAAAAAGAAGTCAGATTTACATAAACTTCATCTTAATTTATTTATGAAGTTATCAAATACATCATTTCTGAAGTTATTCAAAACACTCACAGTACATATTTCATCAGATCTATTAAAACACTTGGGTATCACCTCGTGTTATATTAATCTGATAAAAGGTTGCTGTTGGTGCTTTGAATATATTTTAATACAATATAATAACTAACTTTCTTTTCTGCTCTCTCAGTCCCTGCTATACAATTGTACAAACATGTACATACTACATTTAGACACAAAGATGTACATTTAGATTTAAGGTAGTGTTAAAAAATTAACTGTGACTGACTGACTGACTGACTGACTGACTGACTGACTGTGTGTAGTACTCTTTATTGTCAATAAAAAAGAGTTGCACCATAATAATACTTGACTACAGTAATTGGTGAGTGACTAATTATTATCATAACTTCAATTTGTTCTTATCCATTTTGGCATCCTGTGCGATCTCTTCTGGTACCTTAACCTGTATTAATTAAACAGATAAATCCTGCAAAAAAAAGATAACATTATTATACCACAATCATGTTATTACACATCTTTAGTAATTAACAAAAATATAATATGTATTACATATACGTTAACCTTTTAAGTGGCAATGCACCCTAATGTACTTTAGGGGAGAGCACTGCCACTCAGTGAGTTAATCAGACAATCTTCTGCATGGTTATGCATGACTATTTTACTCGTCACTTGGAGCTAGTGCTCATGACACTCAATGGAATATAAATCAAACTATCTGCATACCCAATGTGCCCAACTTTAGTTAATCTTACTCTGTCTAACACCAGATTATTTTACACGATCTGTCTAATGCCAGACAATTTTACTTGTCAAGGGGAGAGCACTGCATGGTGCTCCATGGGTTAAGGCAAAAAAGTTTAAAGAACTACGATATCCAACAACAACAAAGTGTATGGTCATATGGTGGCAACCTAAATCCCCCACACAATAATAATAAGTGGTCCTCACTGCCCCACAACCCCATATATAAACACTGCTACAAAAAGCCTGGCAAAAGTAGGACTTGCTTGTCCAAGCTCAGTGAGACTTGTTCAATGTGGGGGAATGCAATGCAGCCTTGTTCACAGGACATGAAGTCTGTGCAGTTTCTGGACTATCACTTTCTGCTAAACCTACTGAGAGAGATTGTTAAATCTA